TCCTTTATTTTCATTAAAGGGAACTGACTCAAGGGGAATCCACCTCTTTTCCCTCAGACTAAGCTTTCCCCTGGTAGGCAGGCTTCAGGTGCTAACAGCTGTGTCTTTTCTGATCCATTAGAAACCAATCCGAAGTCATTGACATGAGCCATCCAGCTGTGGTTATAAATAGAGTACATGGTGTCAGTATCCTGAGGTATCCAAGATTCTGAAACTGGAGATACTTTTCCCTCTGTGTAGATCTCCAAGCTGTCCCTGTGCCTTCCCTAGTTCATATAAGCCAAAGTAGTGCCAGGAAACCATTTTCCACCATGGATTCATACCCTGTTCCTGATAAAGTTATTAATACAGATGCAGCCTTTAGGCTACTGTTCCCTGATCATCACTTCTACCATGGGATTGTTTTCCTGAATATTTAAAATTGTACGTGAACTTGAAGTATTTTCTATCAGTATGTAACCTGAAAATATTTTCTTGAGATCATGGCTTCACTGGCTGTTCCTTAAACAGCTGGGCCTCAAGTTGGAAAGGCCTTAGCTCTATAGGAAGTCTACTAAACTTGTCAAAGGAATGAAATTTGAAACTGTAATAAAATAGTCAGACATACCCTATCTGTAACAATGTCCTATCTCTTCTTTAGTTCCCTTAATTTCTTCTGAATAATGCTTTTCCAAAATGGCTTTGTCCTGAGAGAGCTTACCTTGACTACCTGCAGGACAGAGATTATTTAGCCAAAGAGATGCCTGTCTTCAAAAAATTTGGTTTTTTCAAACATCTTCATATCTGAAGGCCCATAGTTAGGTTGGATAGGAATTACTGCAGAAGCAATATCCTGTCGTATTGGTTGAAGGTTTCAGGTCTTACACACTTCTAACACCTCCAGGCCAGCCTTCATCAGACTTTTTCATCCTGCTGTTGAAATGGCAGGCATTTCAAGCAGTGATTTTTGCATGGGTAAGAGATGTCTTCAGCATTTCCGTTACCATACTGTGAAGTCCCTCCTTCTTTCCAGTTTATATAAGTGTAGGTTTGCCCCACTCTCCTACTGAGATAGGATGAACTAGAGGATACCCTTATTTTGAAAGGCTGGCCTCCTTATTTCATGGGGCAAGGGAGTTTTGGAAGGAGACCAAAAAACTCCATAAAAGTTTCTGCCAGTTCAGTTCAGCCAGTTCTTAACACTGCTGGGAACATGTAGCTGTTGTCTCTTGCATCTGGTGTAGCACAGACACATCCTTCCTCTGACCTTCTCTTGGGTCTGCAGTCATGGTCAGTGAGTACCCAGCCATGTCTCCAAAACTGCATTACCTAAAGCTGGAATTGTTTTAAGTGTATCCTCCCTCCATCTTCTCCTGAAATGGCCCTCTAAGTTCCATGTCGAAGCCTCAGGTTTGCCTTTAAGAAAGCCTTCCTAGTGCCTCTAGCTGGGTCTTCCTTTTATCATTTTTGCCTAGACCAAAAATCAAGGAAAAAGCCCTCCATCCATCTTCTCCAGCCCTGCTCTGATATCACACACTACCAGACCAGCTTTTAAGAAGCAGAACTATAATTGGAAACAGAAACAGGAGGGCCTGAGGAACTGCCAGCCTTTACACACAGTTGTCAGTTCTGCTGCATCTTCCTGGCTGGAATTTAGCAGAGCCCCCCCATCCAGGGGGTAACAGCAACAATTAACCCATTATCTCCTGACCAAACTTCTGTGGCTCTCAAAATAAATTACATAATCTGTACTCTTGCAGACCACTGTGCTATGGATAAGGAGTAGGGTAGTTAGGTATGTGAAGGATCTGCAGCAGTCCAGACAGAAGCCAGATGTTAACTTTGCCCTTTTTTATCTCTGATAAATGAGGGTTTGCTAGGAGCATGTTTGGGGCTTTTCCTTTTTCCTTCCCACTAGCATTTTCAGGTGTCGGTGGACAATCAGTCTAGCTGCAAGTGCCTACCTTTCAGTCTGAACTGACTTCCAGAAAACCGACAGCTGAGGCAGTCCAAAGAAAATAATGGACTGTCAGATCACCAGATTTCTTTGTGACTTTGTCACTCCCATCGCAAGAATAGAGTGTCTGGTACGCCATAAACTAAGTTACTGTGGTTAGTGTAGTGAAGTTCCAAGTTGTTTCATTGTTGAAGATTGGTAGTGAGGGTTGGCTTTTTCAGTGGAGCTTTGTAAAGCCACTGGAAACATTAAATTTCACTAGTACCCATTTTGATGGAGCTAGAGCCATTCCTTCAAATTTAAGTGTTGCAGTAATTCACATTGAAGTTGATGCCTGAATAAATCAGTGACTGTAAGCTGAGGGACAACTTTTTTTCAACCTAGACATAAAAACCACACACATTTTTTCATCCATGTTACCTTGTCTGATCCAATTACTTCTTTGTAAATGAATAACCTCTGATAAGCATTCTGACAGTCTTCTAATGGTCTGCCTGTCTGAGATGAAAACACAGTGAGATACACCACCAGTCCCATCAGCAGAATCTGTAGGATTCCTTTGCATCTTGGTGGCCTCTGCAAGTAAAGGTTTGTGGTAAGGTGAATACATCCTCAACCTTGAAATGGTAATGGCTATGATGTCAGCACTGGTTGGCTGTGTCATGTGCACAGACCTGCTGTTCTAAAACGTTCAGAGATCAGGGACACGTCTTTACAGATGCTCTACATGCAGTCTATCATTTAATACCACTAAGTCTGTGCTGTGATATTGCCTGAAGTCTCTGGGGAATTGGAAATTGATTCCTCAAACTCTATGTCTCTGGAGGCTGATTTTATCAGGAAATACTCAGAAGGCAGGGTGTATGGACTGCTAAGACCTGAGGCACCCAGCCTTCTCAAAAGGCATAGAAATCCCATTTATCTTGCAAAGATTATGAGGTAGGGTTGTTCATCTCCAATTTTTACCAAGCACAGTCAATCAGGTAAAGTGGTGACAAACTCTACTGCAGCATTCTGACACAGTCAAGCCTGACATTTATTGCACCCAAGTACTCATGCACACATGACTTTTTAGACTGACAACAGAACTTCACTTTTCCATTCCTCTGAATTAACTGGTTTGCTGGGTGACATCGCTTTGTTGACTAAATTTTGCAATTGGATTTGCAATAGCAGCAATAATGGTTTGCTTCCATCACTTTGTGGCATGTGCTTCTAAAATGCCTTCATGCTACCAGTGGATGGATTCTGGTTACAGCTTGTACTTGGATCATGTTTTCATTTGAATATTCAACAGAGGCAAAAGTTTGAGACACTACTACAGTAACCTTAATTCAAAGCATACTTCACAAGCCTGTCAATCCTTCAGCAGGTAACCAAATTATTTACATGCTTAGATTTAGGAGATATCTTAAACAGACTTATAAATAGAACATAAAGTGCATGAAAAATCTCAAAATGTCACTGCAGACCTAAAAGTTGCAATATAATTGAAAATCAAAGATAAAGTTTACAGAATTTCAGCCTTAAGTGAAGTGACTGCTAGTTCAGGGAACACTCAGTTCTTTGTGTTAAGTCATACTGATGAGTATTAATATTTTTAGATTTCTGATTATCACTTTAAACAATTAAAGAGAGATTGTTAAGAGCACATATCAGAACTAGGCCTCCAAATATTAATGGATTTCATTAATTCATTCATCTACCCTATATAAGTACTGCTGAGCTTCCATACAGGAAAAACATTTGGATTGGGTCATTCCTTTCCAGTTTAAAAAACACGTATTTGAAATGCAGGCAATTTCACTAATGATATGGAAAGACAGAAGCACTGTCTAGGACATCTTCATCACCATTAGAGAATGCAGAAGAAACCAGCAAGCATTCTATTTTTATTCAGAGCTACACTGTTAATCATCATGAAATCTACCTTTTTTTTTGAAGGGCCCAGAACCTACAAGGGTTCATAACGTGGGCAGTGACTAGTAAACAGCAGAACTATATTCCTGTAATCTGGCATGACAGATTACAATTTAAATGCACATACAGGAACAGTAAATATAAATATAGCCAATGAGGATTGAAAGTAATAACTAAATTCTTAAGTGTTGTAATACTGTCTTAAGTCTTTACAGGTTACTGCTCAGTTCCTTTTATTTTCAAGGATGCCTCAGGTAATAGGGATGTCTCACTGCAAGAGCTTGAGGGCAAGTAATGTATTTTTGACTGTGTCATGCCTGCCACAACAGAGTTTATACCAGTGACTAGGACTGCCTTAAACGTTAGAAAGAAAACAGAAGTTTAAAATTCCAGGTGTTTCAAAAAACTGAAAGAAAACAACCTAATTCCTTACTACTACTGAAAAAGACGACAATAAAGCATGCCTGAAAGTAAACATACTAACCAGTAGTGATCCATAATCTTGCAGAAGAGTATATTTGGGATATTCACACTATTGCTTCTGAGGTTTAGAATCTTCTAGTACTTGCTTGCATCCTTCCAGCAACTTGGGTATGGTATTAGGGTGGCTGAAAAAGGGCTCTTTCCTGAGTTACGCACCCCAATATACATGAAACACTGTCCTGAACAAAACCATAGTTTGACTAAAAAGCAGCAGCAGGAGATTTAAAAAAAAAAAAAAAAGTCCTAAAATCCAAGATAGCAGATGGTAAATCTCAAATTGCAGGCTTTAAGTAACAAGTATGTGCCTTGAAAGGAAAAGAAGCTTGCACCTAAAATTATACTGTGCTGTTTGCTTTCAGAGCAAAAGGAGATTTTTGGACTTCTTTGTTTGTTATTAAGAGACACTTTTTTTCTTTGCACTTCATCTAATGACAGTTTTGTTCTTAAGATGCTATTAAAGGGCACTTTATATTTGGCAATCTGGATAGCAGTGATGAGGACATGGCATTATTCCTTCATTTTGCCTGAATGTTTTAACTTTTGAACTGTTTTTAAGCTTTTAATAGTGCTTACAAAGTAAGGGGGGAGGGGAGAGAATACATATACTTTAATCAGGTTTGGTTTAGACCACATAGAATAACACATTAGAAAAAAAAGGCAATTACTTAAAAATAGTTGTATTTATATTTCACAATCTCCTCAAATACTGTTTGTTTGTTGGGTTTTTTGGTTTTGTTTTTTTATAAACTTTCTACAGGATGTTTTAAAACAAGTTCTTCACATTGCTTCAACTATGCACTTATGGAACTCGAGGGAAATAGTTCTGGTTGTTTTTACAGTTTAACACATATACAGTACCAAAAGGATGGTGGTTAGTCACATGCAGTCCATATGAGATTCTAACATAACATTTAGTGAATTTTCTGATGTTGACCACCCCTTTGATGCTGAAGGTAATGCATCTGTGGAAAGCAAGGACTGTAGGTTTGGGTTACTGCTCTCTGCATCTTCCAGTTTTTCAGTGTTGTCCTCCCAATTAATGTGGAATCTTGTGACTCTGGGATTAGATGCCAAAATATTCCTTTGAAGCTGGGAAAGAAGAAAATATATGGATTGTAATGTGTACTTCTCCAACTGGAGTTCATATGCCTAAAACAATTAGTTTAAAAAGGGAATTAACATCAATGTGAATCTACAGCTACTACCTGTGGATCAGGAATGTGCTTACAGAACACTTTCTCATTTTCCCTAATACCCTGCTCAGCAAAACAACCACTTTCTCAAGAGAACATTTTAACTGTTCCACAAGGTCAAGGCTGTGAAAGAGATCCACAAGTAAAGTGCAAGTGTTTATTATTTTATCCAGCTTTCAGTAAAGCAAATAACTTCTACCCCCACAAGGATTTTGCAAACCACAGTACTTAGGCAAATTTTGCATCAACTTTATGGTATTTGCAATACCTATCAATTCCATCAACTTCTCATCTTCATTTACAATTAGAACCTTATCCTTAAACTGCCAAACTTTGGACTGATTTCACTAAGAGGATTTATCTACTAACGTTTTAGTGGACATGATTAGTCATCTATGTTATTCTCATGGCTGGCCTTCATTTTCGTTGGAAAACATGTTGCATTTATGTATTAAAAAAACAAAAAACCCCAAAAAACTTCCTGATTTTATTGTGAAAAGGGGTGAAAGATTATGTATAGTTACCTGGAGGATGGCAACTTAGTGCCAGTGGATACTCACTATGACAGTTAAGACTGATCACAGGAAAGGTTTGCTTTGTCAATTTTATTTTCCAAGAAAGTGTACTCTCATTAAATATTTCCTGACCCCTTTTGCAAACTAAAAAGGCCATTTCTTTTTTAGAACCTAGTAGAGCTTATTACCCAATAATTAATCAATCACACTAATAACCTTCTACTTCTGCATTTCCATTTTGTCCCCAACTCACATCACGGACTCTGTATACAAATATATGATAGCTTTTGGTGTTCTCTTCCACAGCAGCAAAGCTAGCTTTTTATATAAACAAAGAATGAAGACCAAGTAGTTCTAGGTTTTCTAAATTCAAGTGCTTAAAGGGAGTCACCATTTTGGCATTGACAACCAACATAACAAATAAGTTATGTTTTAAATTAAAGAAATAAAGAAGAAAGATTAAATTCTTAAAGTTTGGGTATGATCCTCACTCAAACTTCACTATTATTTTTAGAAACCTCTTTCTATAAGCATACCTCTGATACATGACTAAAACAAAACATGCCTTACCTTAGAAAAATCTGGCTTTACTGGTGGATTCTCTCTCAGTTCTGTTTCAGTATATTCATTGTTTACATAGTAGCCGACTCTAATAAATTCTTGACCTCGGTAAGTGCATGTAATTAGCACAACAGTTACACCTACTGCATCTGCATCTGGAATAAGCCCTGGGTTAGGTGCATCAGCCTAAATGTGAAAGGGAAAGATAAATTAAAATTGATAGCACATGTCTACCTAGCAGGGCAATCTCAAGTAGTGTGTTTCAGCAGCTAAGAAGTGACTATATTTAAAATTGTTCAAGTTAACCAGAAAATACACTGCTTTCACAACATCTGCCCTAGATTTAGAACACCACCCTCTAACAACAAAACTGGAATACAGTAAAATTGTTTGGTGACATTTCTCACAGGTGATTGGCCAGGTTTGATCCAAAACTCTTTTTAAATATATGATCAGCTGAACCGTTGGTCAAACAGGAATACCAACATCACTCCAGTTCTACAGTGCCATGGTTCTCCAGCCCATCTTGGTAATTTAGTAGAGCAAGCTTATTTTCTCACACACCCTCCTCAAGGTTTAATTGGTCTGTATGTGTGCTCTTAACAAGACTAAATCCTTAAAACTAGTTTGCAAATTATACTTCAGCAAGAAAAGGGATCAGCTGTGGTACGGTTTGTGCAGTTCCAGATTTCTAGGGAAGAAACAAAGTAATTTCTCTGGCTTCATTCTTAATACCTATGTTTGTTAAAATTTATGCAGTTAAATGCATCACCTCTCCAAGACACCTGAACATTTTCAGCCACTATGCAAACCTAATTAATAAGCAACTGATACAATCTTCCTCAATGTCCTTGCATACCATGGCTCTGCAGTTACTTATCAATAAAATTTGCCTCCTAAAATGTGGCTCACATCAGTCCCTTAAAACGCCTCCTAACTACCACATCTGTTGATAAAATGTGATGCCTGATTCTGCTGCAGGATTTAAAGTAACAGCAATCCAGGCACAGTAAAACAGCTTCATATTTACAAGTCCACATGAAGATCTGAAGTCAACAATGAACACCCATGTTGTGAGAACCAGTTGGTATTAGTAATGTATGTTCAGATGGTTTGGGTGTAACAAACCTTCCCTAATGACAGATGATGAATGGAATTAATTCCTGTTGTCCCTCTCATCTCTGCTTTTCTGTAGTACTTATATGCTCCAGCCTGGTGAAATCTGGGAGCTGCTGCTCATGCGGCATTGGCTTCTACACTTTGCCACTTCAATTCTAAGCCTTCAAACCACTCTAGCTTTTTGTGAGAAGCTTGTAGGAACTTTGCAGAAGAATTAGATGAGTCAGACCTCTCAGGTAGAAATACACCACAGGGAGGAGAAGAAACCAGGAATCAGGTAGAACTCATGCTCCTCCAGCCCTGAAGGAAGTAGAAAACGGCTGAATGGCTTTACAACTAGCATAGGGGAACAGAAAAGATGGCCAAGGAACAGAAAAAATGCAGAATCTTGAAGAAATCACAAGTACTGCCATACAGATTACATCATTAATTCAGTAGTCTTGTTCTAACAGTGCCCAGAACTATCTGATCACTTTGAATTCCACAGTAATGGGCAACAGAAATACTATGTTCCATTTAACTCCTCATTAAACTCAACTCACATTCTAATATAGGATCATAGTTTTTTCCAGGTTCCCACTGTCATTTTCTGTCTTGGAATATCCTATAACACAGTTCTGAACCCAAATAAATACTCTGTTCTAATCCTGCTTATCTCTCAAGCATTGTTTTGCTGCATGAAAGACACTGAGAACTGTTTAAAACAGTTTTCTCAAATTTTCAACTTCCTGTTTTTTTAAGCCTCTTAATTACTCAGGAGCCAAAGATCATATACAGGTGGAAGAAAAAAAAAAAAAGAGCTTGGAATGCTTGGTGGGCAGAGGCAGTAGATTAGTTTTTGCATAAACAATCGCTGTCTTAGTATGTCATATGCTATAAATTACTTATATTACGTTATGAAATCAGCCCATATATATGTTACCTTGAATTATCTTGATTTTCTGCATGATATTTATTCACCTAGCTATTACTGCAGAACAGGTAGCAAAAGTTATATGCCCACTTAAGGATAATAAATTATTCATGTGCTTATATGCTCAAAAAGAAGTTTCTGTGATTTTATTACAAATTCCTAAGAGAACTGAGAAGGAATCAGGTTTCACTACATATATCTTGGCATTTAGAAACAAATAGGCCAAGCTGTGGGCCTTTACTATTGAAACTCTTTTACAGTAATCGTCCATCTTTCTATAAGGCTGAATTCCCAACCTGATACGCATCTTTTTTTCATCTAAGGTGTTTTTATCATCCTTGGTAATCTATCTGTGTGGTACTCCATTTTAGTTGCTATTTCAGCCATTTTCTCATCTAGAAAAATCTACAGCAGATTATCTGAAAATTTTATACTCCTCTGCAAAGGTCCTTTCCTTATGCTACTCCCCACGAACACAATCTCTTTTCTTTGTATCACATGCCTCCTGCAGCTCTATGCTTTGCCCCATTCTTGCCTTCCCTTGCTTGTTTTCTCCGTATCCCAGGCCACTTCAGCTTGGTGAATATAATTGCTTCAGTCATCAGCAAAGGCTTCTTGCAGCGCTTCGGGTTTTGGTGGTCTCCTGCGTACACATGAGCTCAGTCCTACCCTCACCTGAAATCCAGAGCCTTTGAAGTGTAATATACTCAGACCCAACCATACTTCCATAAGAAATACAAAAGATATTTTAACAGAAGGAATCTCTTACAGGACCTACGCCAATCTAAGCAAAATCTCTACACATCTCCTCCTAATTTAGCTGTAGTGTCATTTATAACCATGACACAAGCACTGAGTCCATTCTACAGAAACTGCGCGACCAGTAAATTTGAGACCTGCCCAATAATACAGACAAAATATGCCTCTTTCAGGCACCTACTTCTTGTTCCTTCCTATCACCATCAACAAGGAATCTTTGGACCTTTGATTGAGAACAATGCATCTTTTAAATTAGAAATGTAAATGCCAGCTGATTTTCCCATGTACAAGTGCAAGGTAGCCCCGCTGAGAGCAATAGAGGATCACCTGTTTCTGGCCAATTAATGCCATAAGCTATAACTGCTTGATAATGGAAAAACTGTTAATAAATGATGCATTTGTTACACATCTGCTTTATTTGTAGCAAGGAAAAATTAGGCCTGGCTCCAAAACCAAACGGAAATGTTTCAGCCCTGATTTGCATGTATGTGGTTGATAAATGCTGCAACTTCCAGTCTAATCCTATTCTTTAAGCCCATCTTGTAAGGAAAAAACCAAAACAAAAAAGCCCAGAATAAACAAACAAACACCCCCAAAATGATAAATAAACTACCTTTCCTGGAACTGACAGGATTAATCAGGATGCCTCACAAATGCTGATATTATTTTAAACCAGTTACAGTAACCATGAGAAATAAGGGAGTGCATTCATTAGCACTTTGGGGATTTTTAATGCTCATGCTTCAGCATGTGTTTGTCATTAGTTAAGTGAATTTATAGTATTTGAGAAAATAGCAGAGTTCTTATACAATAAGACATACTCTGTTCCTATCTGATTTTTCTTCCAATCAATTTTGTTGTCAGTTTACAAGACAAATTCTAGTATTTAATAGTATAAAATGTGTTATAGTAAAAATTATAGTTTTGAATAAAAAAAATGAACAAAAAAACTTCGCCACCACTAAGTAAATTATCCCAAACAAAAGAAAGCTTCTGTAAGAATTCAGGCAAGTCCACTTCAAGTCTTCCCCCCTTTCCTCTCACTGAGTTAAAACAGAAGGAAGACTAGGCCAGTGAGCCATCTTAGTGTTGTTCTTTTCCTGTTTTCTTTTCCTTCGTTATTCCTTATTAACTTTTGGCTTTAACCAGCAGTATTTTATAGGACTGTCACATGCTCTAGACTTTTTTGCACAGTCTTGACCTACACCTTTGTGTCCTAAATACCTCCCATTTACCACTGAATTTCTATCTTTTATTTTAGAAATCACTGTATTTTGTTATGATTTAGCATGCTTAGCCAAACATCACAGTTGAACATGCGTTCTGCCAAACAAACTTCTTGATTGTTCTGGCTGAGTTTTACAATTTGTTTGTTGGCCTGATCATCTGAAGGTGTTGTCTACATTAACCTAGTTCTCTTAATTGTCTGAAATTGCCACCAGCAGCAGAAGAGGTAAGCCTGATGGTGCTGGTGTAAACCAGGCATATGGCACTGCTGATTATGAACCAGACTGGTTAAAATTATCAGTAGCTATGGGAACTGTGCTTTTATCAGTTATTATTGATACCACAAAAAATATAACCAAGAAATATCAGGGGTAAGAAGTACAAGCTCAAGAACAGTGCAATAATTTTTTTTTACCATTATTTTTCAAGTGCCACTTAGTTTGATGCAGTTATCCCTAAACAAATTAGGGATATTATAATTTACAATTATAAAAATCTTTTAGAAACGGTTAAATCAAACTTACCTGAAATACAAACATGTGTCTGCCTGCAGGAACAGGTCCAACTAAAACCGAGTCTAACACCTGATCATACTCTTCACTTTCAGCTGAACCCACATAAATTATTTTCCATTCCAAATCTACATAAAAAAAAAAAAAGAAAGAAAAACAAACATTATTTATCATTGGAGTTAGGGATCTTCCACTCTTGCCAATCTACAGTTTTGCATAGCCTAAAATTACTTCTTTGGCAACAAGCCTAAAACAACAAGGACCTGTCTTAGAGAAATTTACTAATGCCTGACCCTGTCCTCATGAACCAGATCATCTCACTTTCTAGCCAATTGTACCACAGGAATCCCTCTATTTTCAAAGTGAGGTTAATTTTCAAATTTTATACAGAGAACAAGGCCCTTTTACTAATTTTACTAATTGGGACCCATATTGAGCATCTTCTCAAAGTCTGTCAGAATGGCTGCAGCAGAGGGATGATGCCTATGAATCATCACATCCTTGAATACCAACTAACCTCCCAAAACCAAAATTCCCACCTTCTACATAGACACCTCACAGCTTAAATTACACACAGATCGTGGACAGTAGCTAGTTGAGTAAGAAAGCCACTGGGTAAGCAAGCTCCAGGCACACTAACTGTATGCCCTCATTCCTTCATGTTGGAGCCTGGAATACAGAGTGTGTGCCCTTGTTTCTGATACTTAGTTATAAGATCCAGAAAAACACTGAATTTCATATAATATGAATGATTACGATTATGAATGATTCTTCGAATCATAAGAACTGAGATAAGCAGGGCTCCCCACGAGGGAGGATCCCAAAAGAATTCAGTCCAAAGGAGGCTGAGAAATCCAAGAATAAAAAGGATAAAAAGAAAAATACAGAAGAGATGCAGCAGAAACAGAGAAACAGAACAAGGATTTTTTAGAGAAAAGTTACACTTCATGTGTCACTTGTGTTATCCAGAAGTACATAAAATTGTGATAGCATGACCAGACCATATTCTTCAAGACAGTGATGCTTGGATCTTATCTACATCATGAAATGGAATTATAGGAAAAAACCCAAAAACAACAGTGTAGCACTTTGCTTCCTAAAGCCAAGCACTAAACCCCAACATTTATTACAATTCAGTTTTTTCTAACTCAGCCTCTCCCCCACAGATGTTTTCAAGTAGAAATTACAAATTAGCTCTTCCTGGGTCAGCTTTTCACCTTCCCTTTTTGATTCAAAAGCAGTATTACTCACATCTGAAACTAATCTTGCAAGACAGATTTTGGGGTTTTTAAATCGAGGGAAAAAAAAAGACCACCATTACAAAAAACTATAACACTTCTTTTCTTAATTAAGCTGTTGTTTCAGAACTATACCTTAAAAATTTACATGGTATATTTTTTTTTCCCCCTTGTGAACAATGCACTGATTGCCTTTGCAAAAGCACAAACCTGTAAGCTATTACATTAACTTGATTAGTACACTCGGCAAAATCCAAAGGTCTGCCTCATGGTTTCTAGATGCAGAAATGGAATTTAAACACAGAAAAAAAAAAAACCAAAAAACAGCACTTGAACAGAATTTGACTGCTTTAAGACTGCAACTCTCTTTCCTCATTAGTGAAATTTTCTTGCCTATTTTGTTTACTATCAGTGCAGGTTTTGCGGGTTTAACTATCATAATAAACAGGGCTTGGGAAGGGATTTTACTCCTCTGTAAAACACAGTGCAGTTTCCCAGGTACTGTATCAGAGGTTTTATTTACTTTTTAAGCTTGAAGTACTAGCTGTTGCCAATATTGCAGGGTACTCATCCAGGATAGTTAAGGAACTTTCTTGTCTGCATCTGAGGACAAATTACTACTTACAAGAAGTGAGGCCTTTTAGGCTAAACTGCTTAAGGCTAACATACTATTCTGTGCCATTATTCTAGGAGAACAGTATAAAACTTATTCTAAACAACTCATAATATTTAGTACTAAAACGAGACTTTTTAAAAATAGATTTTAAATATTATTTAAGTATGTTGATACAGACCAACAACTTTAAGAGAGAGCTGGAGTTCATGGATTTAATTTTATGATCAGCATTGCATAGAATGGGCTGAAAACAGCACAGTAAACAGACGTATTAGCACAGAAAAGCTAAGGCAATGACTTTTCATCAAGTATACAATGGCTGTGTTTAATCTTATTTTTAAATGTATAAGATAGCAGCACTCATCCCTAATATAACCTATAGTCTACCTTACATGTCCGTGGGGGAAAGGAGCTGAGAATTCTGCACTGGACCATCTATAATTCTTCTCATCACGACTGTCCAGGATTAACTCTTAACATAAATCCTGAGTGTGAGAAGCACATCACATACAGCTGTACACAACTGGAAGGAAAAGCCTAATATCTTGCACGGAGCCGCTGTGATTGGCACTGCCACCTGCCATAGCAGTTGCCACGGAGGGGGTCCGATACAGCACCTCGGATGGGGCCAGGCTGACCGGCGAGATCCAGCCAGCAACGTGGCGACGGGCAAGGAGCACAGCTCCAGCTACTGCAGGAGCAGGAGACAGGCGGCGGAGGCCTAGAGGAAACCCTGGCTCAGGCGAGACTTCCTCTGAAGTTCCCGCCACGGCGCCCGTCCCTCCCTTCCTCCCTCCCCGCGCTGTCACCATCCCGCCGGCACGCACGAGTACGCGCTGCTGCAGAGGCAGGCAGGGTGAAGCGAGCTAAACCGCAGCGATAGCGAGCCTGCCAAGGCACCTTAGCCAGGACAGTACGCAACTCCCCTTCTCCTCAGCCTTGCCCTCGCCCCTCCGCCTGCGGGGCTCTCTGGCGACCAGGCGGCGCTGGGCTCCGCCGACTGCCGGCCAGGCAGTGTCCTCTCCCGCTCGCAGGCGGGCGGCCTCCTCCTGCTCCCGGGGCAGCAGCGGCTCCCCGGCCCGCCGGCGGGCTGGAGTGCCCCGCATTCCCTCCCTCGCCCCGAGCCGTTCGAAACTCCCGCCCGCGGGGCGACGCGCGGCCTCTCGGGGCGCGTCCCGCGGCCGGCCGGGGGGCGGCGCTGCGGAGCGCGGCCGGGGCGAGGGCGGCTCGCGGCCCGCCCGGCACTGGGGGAAGGCGGGAGCGCGGCGGGAACGCGGCGGCGGCGGCCCCGGCTCAGGACGGGGGTCCCCGTGCGGTGGCAAGGCTGGGGCCGCCCCCCACCCGCTGGTGGCTGCCGGTAACTTTCGAGTGACTTCCAAAAATAGTGGCAGGCAGGCGGCCCCCTCCCCCCCGGCGGGGCTCCCGCAGCCAGCGCTCCCCTCCAAGCTGTGCCCCCGGCCCCGCGCACCTACCGCGGCTGCCTACTGCGAGCACGCGGGGCCATCCAGCCAGCCCACCCCTGCCTCCCACCGTGATTTAAAATTTTTTTTATTTTTTTTTTAATTTTTTTTAATAGTATTAAAATGGAGCACGAGGCCAGCGAAACGCATCCCCGCGGAGCGTTTTCCGCGCTCCGAGTACCGGCCGCGCTAAACGCGCAGCATCCCGTGTGCCCGCGGGGATGCGCGGCCGCCGAGCCCGGTTCAACCCTCCTCTCTCCCGCTCGCTCCCCCCACGCACACACAAAGCTGGCAACATGGCTACCTCCACTCTAACAAGTTCCTCGCAACTTGCGGCAGCTCGCCGCCTCGCCGATGGCGGGGAGAGGCGGCGGGCCCGGCTCGGCGCCCAGAGCGGGCGGACGCCGCCAACTTTCCCCGGCTCCGGGTTCGGCGGGAGCGGCACATCCCCTCGCCCGCCCGGCACATCCCCTCGGCTCGGCACGGCGATGCGGCCGAGGTGGAGAGACTGTTAAATTGTAGGCGCAGGCCTGTGCAAAGTTTAAGCCTTCAATGCCCCGAGCTCAGAGCCCGGGGTTGCAAAATCCGTATCGGGGAGAAAAATTTTACTCACCTTCAGACAGGTCCTCTATGCACTCGAATGTGATTTCGAACTGGAAAGGATTGTAGAAAGGAGAAGGATTATCCAACACCACTACATTGTTCACCTGAACCTTTGCCATATTTTGGAAAAAAAACACAAACAATAGGCAGAGCGTGTTAACGCCGCGCACTAAAGTCCTCCGTGCCGGGCTCCCGCACCGCACAAGCCCCCGCGCCGCTGCCCGAGCGAGGCTGCAGGGCGGCGACTTCCACAAACTTTTTTTTTTTTTTTTTTTTCGCCCCCCCCTTTTATTTACACCGGGAACGCTCCACACTGTTCGCCGCTTTCCCTATTTCGCTCAACTACAGCCCATTCTGCCCCTGCTCGCCGCCAGCGCCCGCCCGGATTGGCCACTCGCCGGGCGAGGGCCCTCCCTCCGCGGGCACGGCGGGCACCGAGCGCCGGCCAGAGCGGCCTCCGCGCGCGCCCGCCCCGCGCCGCCCCCGCCGCAGCGCCCCCGCCCGGCGCGCGCCGGCAACGGCCGCCGGCAACCGCCAACGCGCCGAGGGCGGGGCCGATCAGGGGCGGGGCCAGGGGCGGGGCCAAGGCGGGAGATGATCCAGGCGAGTTTGAGGGAGCCGCGGAACATCTGCTTCTCTGATTTATAGGAACAGGACTGAGAGCTTATCAATAGCCTTCTTTTCTTTCTTTTATTTTTTTTTTAATTTTATTTTTCTGCATGCATTAAAAAGATTAAAATTCAGGCGAGGGGAAAATCAGAAGGAAAGATCTTACCTCACAGCTAGTCAGATCTCCATTCACGACCAAGAGGGGACTCTGTAGGTTAGTTCGAAAGCAGTTGCCTTGCATTGCAATGATTATATTTAAAAGAAAAAGTAAAACCTAAGATGTGACTTTATTTCAATTGCTGGCATATAGCTTATGGGACTGTGTTTATTCTGCCTACCACAATAACTTTTATAAAAACTGGTAAGGTTTAGATTCATATATAGGAGATGCTTTTTTTTGTCAGTGTATTATATTTTAAGTTGTGAACCATATGAGCTGAAGAAGAAATTAATTTCCTTTCAAAATGTTCATCCGCTGCAAGTTGTAAACAATGTAAGACCACATCCAGCTTGGAAAGTGTTCTAAGATGAAAATCGAGGCTGAAAAAATAGCAGGGCAAAATATCATAACTAAATTAGAACAATGGGTAGAACAGAGACAAAACTATCTTTTTGTCCATTCACTTCAGGCAAAAAGTTAAAGCATTGTATTTCAACAAGACAAAAAACTGCTTGCAACCAGAGCTCATTTTAAAGTTTTATTTAACCTTATTTATAAAAGGGAAGATTCAGAAGTGTTAGAGTCCTAAGTGGGTTTTTTTTATATGCTAAGATTGTATAGTATTGTATAAGCAGCAACTGCCGTGCTGGCTGCTTGGGAAGGGTGAAAAACTACTTAGTCCAGCACTCCTGATTAAATGGTTCCCAACACCTCTCTACAGAACAAGCACTTTTGCTCTCTGAAGGCACAAAACTGATCTAATTAAGCAGGAAGGTGCATTAAGCTTTCAGCATCCCCTAAGAAGAATGAAAACAGTGATTCACTTACAGGCTAAACCATCTTGCCTGTGGGGTTCCACCCTCTGCCAAGGGACACTTTCAGTTTAGGGTCCTTTCAGCTCTTTGGGTTTTTGTTATGCTTTGTTTGGTGCGTTTATTTCCCTCTTTCTGTGCTGATTGTGCTGGGTGCTGGTGGGGTCCCGGATGCCAGCAGCACCCCCAGCTCAGGGCAGTGGGGCTGGGCACTGGTGCCAGGCTCATGAGCCCAAGCCTGCAGCCCACGGCAGCGACCTCTTGGCCGATGGCACGGGATGTCTGTGCCGGGATACAGCACCTTGCTGTATCCCACCTGTGCTGGCTGGGGAGCCCCCTGAGCAAACCGGGTTTGCTGGGTGGCACAGGCTGTCCGCATGGCCCCGAGTGGTGCTGCTGGAGAGGCCACCCAAGAGGGGCTGTGCAGGGAACCAAGCGTGCCTGTCACACAGCCGGGCTGTCAGGAAGCCATCCCCTTCCTCTATTTGTGGGGGGCTTGGGTACTCTGAAGAGCTACGAGGCGGGACATGGTGCTCGTGCGGCAGCATTGCCGGTGGAAGGGCCCTGTGTGCAGCAGGGGAAGCCATCTTGTGTGGGGGCACGAGCCTGCAGCAGAGGCCATCTCACGGCCGCCATGCACAGAGGACAGTGCATGAGGAGGTGACAGTGCCGAGCAGGGTGACACCGCGCTACGGTGCCAGTGGCGTCCCTCACGGCTCTGGGGGGAGAGCAGAAAGTGCCCATGGCTCCAGGGTTGCGAGTTGTGTTCCCTCACCACAGAATATTCCGAAATAAGCCTAGCCAGGGGACTGCCTAGTACTCTGTGTTTCTCTAATTCCTGCTGTATGATTGATTGCCCATGTTCGGCACAGAGTGCAGGAAAACCAAGAAAGATTGGACATGGTGAAGATTCCTTACTACAAGTTGAAGTATGTATTATGTTATCAGGAAACATTTAATTCCAGTAATTTTTTGCTGGTCATTTGCAATCAAATAGGTGCCGTGGTGGGCTGCGCAGTGATGAAAAAGTTTTTGCAGCTTTGAACCAAATGGTGAGGCAGGGGGAATTCTTGTGCAGGTTTTGTCATAGAATTCCAGGGGATTTTAGGCTGATTGCAGCTTGTCAACTACTAGGATATTTTGAGCTGAACACTGGAGTGAAAAAGAAGGGCTAAAGATAGAGAAGAAGCTGGGAAATAGGGAATAGAGGGACTGGAGGGAGCTGTGCATACTTGCTAATGAGTGACAATTTCCGCAGTTGTGCAGGGGTTTTGACTTGCCATCCACCCAGTGTTGAATCATGTAGATTTACTGGAAAACTTTTTTTATTATTATTTCTTCCCCCATTTCATCCTTGGTCATCTCTGGGTTTTCATTTTTGTTTAATGCGTAGAGGAAACCAAAAACTCTTAAAGAAATTTAATTTCCTAAGTTTAAAGGAAGAATTTGACTCCACTTTCTGGGGCCATGAGTTAAATTACAATTAAATTATTTTTTTTTCCAAACTTTGCTTTACAGCTCCAAAATTTCTGTCTTAGTAGCTGATGAAGAGGAGGACCTGAACGTATCTGTTCCATAATTTTGCAGTCTTTGCCTTTGTTCCAGTTTGCAGTATGAACTGCCAGAACTAGTCTTTGTACCCTAATCCCTTTTGTTCATTTAACAAAGTTCTAAAATAAGTCACAATCCAGGTATGGGAAGCTTAACAGAATCAAACCCACAGCTCCAGGCTGACCTACCTCAACACTAGTGGGATTGCTTGCTGGTAGCTGTAAAGTGAGTTAACTTGCATGGTAGAAGCACATGATGGAGTTTCCTTGATGGTTTGCCCTCTGTCCATGGCCCAAGCCACTGCTGGGTCCCTTTCTTTCACTCAAGTTTACTCCTGCATTTTAAAGAAGAGACTGACTGAAGTACTTGATTCTTCAGGTTTGACAGTGACTGCTGTGAAGGAATTTGGGGAGTGGAATTTGGAAGCTGGAGCACTGGTGCTTGCAGATGGAGGTCTGTGTTGCATTGATGAGTTCAATAGTATCAAAGAACATGACAGAACCAGTATCCACGAGGCAATGGAGCAACAAACCATCAGTGTTGCAAAGGCAGGGTAAGTGGCATGTTAGCACATGTTAGAAAACAGCATGAGATTTTTCTCTTTTACTTACATGTTGGAGGGATGCTGATTAAACATACCTGTTTTCTTCATTGTGTGTAATAGTTTTGTTGTCAACAATATTCCTAAACTAAATGAGTCAGCATTTCAGAGGACAGTTCACTGGGCCAGAGGCTGCAAGCAATCAGAATAAATACATACCCTCGTCACTGCTGCGTTTTCAATCTACTGCTATAGGCCAGGGCGCTTCTACAAAGACTTGGCACCCTTTTTCTTGTCCTTTGCTGCAAGTGGTTTTAATAATCCTATTGGAATTCCACCTATGTGGAATGAGGAGCTTTGTGACTTTTTTTGTTGCAACTCAGAAAGTGGTACTTCATTTTTCCAAAATCACAGAATTATTAAGTTTGGAAAAGACCTCAGAGATCATCAAGTCCAGCTTATGATTGATCACTGCCTTGTCAACTAGACCATGGCACAAAGTGCCATGTCCAGTCAATTCCTGAATACTTTCAGGGATGGTGACTCCACCACCTCCCTGGGCAGCCTGTTCCAATGCCTGACCAAACTTTCAGTGAAGAAATTCTTCCTGATGTCCAGCCTGAACCTCTCCTGGCACAGCATGAGACTATGTCCTCTTGTCCTGTAAAATCCAGTAATATTGCTTGGTAACCAAAGCCTATCAAGAGATTTCCAGGCTGCTGTATTTTCTGAAAGATTTCCAGGCTACTGAATTTTATATGTTGTGTGTGGCAAAAATGTAAACTCCTGCTTACTTGAAGTTCCTTCCTTTATTTTTTCAAAGTAATGTGTGTTCAAATCTGCTATCCCTCCCCACTACCCCTGCCCACCACTTGGGTCTTTGAGCTCATGTTTTAATTTGTCTGTCATATGCAGCTCTTATTCAGGCCCAAATTATTTCCTGGCTGGTATTTCTGAAATCTCTGCTACTCTGAAGCCTTCACCCTTTCCACATTCCTTCTTGTCACCTTCCACTCAGCTCTTGCTACAGTCACATCTTGGCTCCTCTAACTGATCGTGTCCTTCCCTTATTCTGAGCAGCTTCATCCTCTTCATCAGACAGCAGACAAATAATCACAGAACATTCTGAGTTGAAAGGAACCCACAAGGATTGTCAAATCCAATTCTGAAGTGGATGGTCTATATGGGCATTAAACGCACAACTTTGATGTTTTTAGCACCATGCTGTTAGCAGCTGAGCTAATCTCAGGGTCACATTGCTCTCACCTGGTAATTACCAGCCTTTGCCAGCTGGGCACAAATACTTGGAATCAATATGGTCCTGTCTCCTTGGTAAGACAGGGGCATATTTCAGCTGAGTCCCGTGTTGCAGTTGTTTGGATTTGATAGACCCAAACACAGTTTGCTAACTTGCACGTATATGCCCAGTCGCTCACTTTTAAGGACTGCATATAATGAGGATTTTTTGAGTAGTAACAGCACACACAGGTTAAGCACCCTGTTAATTTAGGTCTTATTTTGGTGCATGGTAAAAAAAGGGGTTTTTTGTAGGTTATAAGCTAGTGGAAGATCTGTGGTCCTTCCTCTCAGTTACAGAAGAACTTTGGACGTGAAGCAGCAGTTACTCAGGAACTGACTAGAAATAGCTCAGTGACAAACCAAAGTTAGAATGCTTCTGTTGCTGCCTTAACCAAAAGTAGTGCATTTGGACTACTAGAGTAAAAATAATCTCCCC